CCTCCAGATGTTGCTGAGTTACAACTCCCATCATATCTGACCAAACTGGCTATGCTGGCTAGAACTAATGGAAACATGTCCAGTAACATCTGGAGAACTACAGGTTCCTCATTCAAACCCTATGAGTTAGATGTAGGGTCTACCTCCTGTTGATGGAAGCATACCACCAAGAGAAGATGCAGCCAACAAATCTGGGGTGATACTCCTCATACCACAGCTCATTCCATTCATCTGCATTTCCTAAACACTCAATTTTCAGGGGGCTATTGTAAGTAGGAGTGGAGGAAATCCCATTCTGCCAGCCGAGATGTGCATGCTAACATCTGAATGCAATCCTTTGGAGACATGACAATTCAACAGTCTTATTTATTTTGTTGTTGTTGTTGTTGTTGTTTATTTGCCTATATAATATAGGCAAGTGTCCATGACTAGGACTGTTAGGACAGCTTTGAAAGGACTAGGGAAGATCATAAAAAGTGAAGCTATAACTCTAAACACTAAAGTAAGGATTGCCCATGCCATTGTATTTCCAATGTCTATGGGGGGTTGCAGACTGCCAGAAATAGTGCAAATTCAGTCCACTTTTAGGGTTAGGGTTAGGGAATCATGGGAACTGTATTTTATTGTGGCACCAGAGCTCTCTGACAGAGAAGGCTCAATGTCTCCAAAAAAAACCCAATTCCCATGATTCCCTAGCACTAACCCTAACCCTAAAAGTGGATTGAATTTGCACTATTTCTAGCAGTCTGCAACCCCCCTTAGTATGATTGTGAAAACTGGACAGTGATGCAAGCTGACAGGATAAAAATCAATTCATTTGAAATGTAGTGCTGGAGAAGAATACTAAGGATACCAGGGACAGCCAGGAAAACAAATAAATGGGTACTAGAACAGATCAAACTCAAGCTGTCTCTAGAAACCAGGATGACCAAATTGAGGCTGTTGTACTTCAGCCTTATCATGTGAAGGCATGACACACTAGAAAAGACAATAATGCTTGGAAAGATAAAGGGTAGTATTAAAGGAGATATATTGTATACCAGCTGGATAGATTCAATCAAGGGGCTACAGCTAGGAGCCTGAAGGAACTATGCAGGGCAATTGAGGACAGAGAGGCTTGGAGGTATCTCATCCATGGGGCTGCCATGAGTCAAAGTTGACTCAAAGGTAGTTAATAACAACAAATAAAATATGCCAAAAAGCAGAGGACTATACTTTTAGAAATTTCAAAAATATTGAAGTCAAGAGCATCAAATCAATACATTTACCACCAATCACCATCAGTGTTTACTATAATGAGGTTGATTAGCAGATGGATAAGTTCATTTTTCTTGGCTCTAGGTCTAGGCAACTATAAAGACCAGTATTATATAAAAACAAAAATCTCCAAACAGGAAACAAACCTTATACATTTTATATTCCTTTTTTTAATAAAGTATACTGCTTCTTTTCATATTGAGGGATTTTCCTACAATATACTCAGATCTGACAATTGATTTTCCACATCTCAGAGAAAGAAACTAAGCACACTTTGCATGCATATAGTCCCATGTTTAATGGCAGGATCCTCTAGTCAAAAGTATCTCTCCTTGAAACTTTGGTGAGCTGTTGCCAGTCAAACAGGAACAACACTGGATGTGCTTTGGTTCAGCATAAACCTATATATCAAGAATACCACTGAACACAGCTTGGAAAAGTTAATGATTGGACTAAAACTTTCAAAATCCCCTTGTTAGCATGGCAAGTCATAATCTAAAAATAGTTGTGGGATGCTGCAGTTTAAAAGATCATTTTTCTAGGCACAGTTGAAGAGATGAAAGAGCTGTCACAGAGGCCCAGAGACAAACAGACATACACAACTGCATTAGAGGTTGCAACATGCAAGCTGGAAAATGATGGGCATACTACCATACCATCCAACTGGTTCCAATTACCAGTTACTGGTAATTACTGGTCCCTAGCAAACTAGTTGCTTTCTTTACTTTGAACCCAGTTTGCAGCAATTGAAGTAAACCAGGACAAAGGGGGAAAGTGGGAAGAGGAGAGTGAAAATGGTACATTTTAAAATCAGCTGGAAAAAATGCGATGGCAGAGGATTAACTGGGACTGCCCCTATCAAATTGGGACAGTTGGGGGTGTATGGATCTTGATGTTGGCAGGGGGAGTCCTCCCAAATAAAGTGGATGCACCTATCATCAGAGGAGCCCTTCTAATACCAAAAGGCAGATCCTGAACCCAAACTTAAGAACAGTATCCTTGGTATCAGCTGGGGTTTGGTTTCAGGACCCCCTGCGAATACTAAAATCCATGGATACTCAAGTCCCACAACAGACAACGGGTTAGTAAAATGGTGTTTGTTGTTGTTGTTAACAACTGCCCTCAAGTTGGCGTTGACTCATAGTGACCCCACGAGTAAGGAGATTATCCCACCGCTCAAATAACCTAGTTTACCTCTTCCAAATTGAAGTCTAATTCGGGAGGCAGCTGGATCCTATCACAAGGATTTTGCTGCTGAAGCCCCGGCTGTAGCCTGGGTCCCAAGTGCACGTCAGCAGCCTTATTTCGAAACTAGGAGCTTTCTGACTTGACAAAATGGCCACAGAAGTGCGCCGGGGACCTGGGCTGCAGCTGGGCTGGACTCACCCGGCAGCTTTAGTGACAAAATCCTTGATAGGCTCTGCTCAGGCTCTGCTCAGGCCCTGCATGCCCAGGGCTGTGGTTTCTTTAATTGAGTCTATCCATCTAGTATGCGGTCTTCCTCTCTTTCTACTACCCTCCATCTTTCCTATCATTATTGACTTTTCTAAAGAATGGTTACCCTTATATAAAATGGAAAAATCAAGGTTTACTTTGGAGATTTTAAATATATATATATATATATATATATATATATATATATATATATATATATATTCAGACCATGGATAGTTGAATCTGTGGATGCAAAATTTATGGATATAGAGGGCCAGCTGTACAGTCGGTGCTCCATATCCATTGATTTTTTTTTATCCACAGATTCAACTATTCATTGTTTGAAAATATTCCAAAAAACTATAAATTCCAAAAAGCAATGCTTGATTTTGTCATTTTATATAAGGGACACCATTTTACTATGTCATTGTATATAATGAGTCTTGAGCATCCACAGATTTTGATATCCGGGGGTGGGGGTGGGTGTCCTGGAACATGGAACCCAGTGGATATCAAGGGCCCACTGTACTATACTGCTTTTTAACACAAAAGTCTCCAAACAGTATATTTAGGCCGATGTCCTACATCATGCCAGGGTAGGTGTAAATCTACACTCAAACAGTTACACAATATTTGCACTTCTCCACTGTTCTGCTGTATACAAACACTGTGCAAGTAATTCTGCATCTGTCAGTGTGGCAGTTTATTGTCCCACGGTGCAGTAGGGAATGCACTGGGACTGTTTTTGCAATCCCATTGAATAAACTGGTATACTGAAGGCACTAATAGATAGTTAAGCACCAATGAAGGATGCACATCTGCTTGTCTGGAATCCTGTTTAGTCCCAACTAGATTCACCAATAGACCCATTCATTTAATTCCTGAATGGTGAGATAACACATAGGTAATAAATTCAATTGATTCAATAGCTCTACTTCAGTTGAAACTGATGCAGTATTTAGATGCAGGTAAACTGGTGACCCTTGTGGAAGTCTGCTAATGCAACCATAAACTAAATAAGTTCATTACACAATAGCCAAAAACATGCCATCATGTGTGGAAGGAAACATATGCATATGTACTATACCAATAGAATTCTGGCCATTGTTGTTGCTTTTTTTAAAAAAAAATATGAATAAAGTGGAAATGAATGCAAAGATCTGGAAGCTGCTGAAAAATGAGTATGCTCCATTTCTAGAATTAATCTGAGAAATGCTTTCTCATTGGGATTTAGGAGGATTAGGTGGAAGGAGAGCAAATCCACAAATCAATAAGAGAAGAAATTCTTTTGTTCTTTTTAAAAAGCATGGGGGGCATTATTTTTCACCTTTTGAAAGGGACTTTCAAGCCAAGTGAACCAGTTGCTTAAAGCTAAGCCAATTAATTTGGAAAAGGCGATGTGGCGGAGGTGCCGTTTTGAGGACCTGACAGCTGATCTGGGACCAGATGGAGATTATGCAGGGTTTTTTTTCTTCTTTTTATCATGCTTGCCTGCCAGGCAGGAGTCACAGTAATCTAATCTCAATGTCAGAAATGCATGGGTAACCAACTCAAGGTCAGTAATGATTGGGGGCTAGAGATGTTCCTCAAAAGATAAAAGGAGAATTTCCCAGTTGCTGTCATCCTCCTTGCCTTTGCGAGAAGGATGAAAATCTCAGGTTTCTCCAGAGAATGGTAGAGACAGGGAGCAACAATCTGATGGGGACAGAAAAAGAGAATCAAGGCCGATCTAAACCAGATCCTGAGAAGATATTTTGGACTACAATTCTAGACTGCCCCAGCCAGTGGAATTCTGAGAGTCCCATATCCCCCAGTTGCCCCAATTTATCAAGGATAGTCTGGATTAATCTTTAATCATCCCACTTTTTCACTTGCTTTTAAAATGTCCCAGTTTCTCTCTCCTCCTCCCACTCTCCCCTTTTCTCTGCAGTTCACTTCACATGCTGCAAAGTGAGCTCAAAGTCCAAAAGTAGTTTGCACTCATGTAACTCAAAGTGTGGGGAAAAGAAGATGGGGGGTAGGCTCCTGCCCCTCCCAATAAGGTCAGGCAAAAGCAATCTGCTGCAGACACTGCTGTCTCATATGTTCTACCTCGCTAATGACTTTTTGCATCCTTGACCACACTCTGATGTTGCTAGGCCACTTATTATTATTATTATTATTATTATTATTATTATTATTATTATTATTACTATCTCTTTTCCCAAAACTAGGACCCTGAGCAGCTCACAATATTAAAAGAACAGGACATTTAAAAGAACTATATAGACATGTCCTGGCTTAACTCATAAAATCATATGTTGGCCAGAGCCAGTGTGGTATAGTCGTTTGAGTGTTGGACTATGACTCTAGAGACCAGGGTTCAATTCCCAACTTGGTTTATGCTGGCTCTTGGCCGTAATAAAGATAGGTATGTATGTAATTCCCAGCTTAGTCATGAAACTCACTGGGTAACCTTGGGCAAGTCACATCCTCTCATCTTCATAGGAAGACAACGGCAAACATCCTCTGAACAAATCTTGCCAAGAAAACCCCATGATAGGTTTGCCTTTGGGTCGCCATAAGTCAGAAATGACTTAAAGGCACACAACAACATCAGATTCTACATCAGTTATTTAGCTAAGAAAAGTATACTAATTAAGTAAGTTCTCCTGAAGCTGAAACTTCCTGAAACTCATGAAAAGGTTATTCACCTATACTCCAGTCTGCAGCAGAATAGACATCCTTCTCTCTATGCAGCTGATGTCTAGTGAAGTTGGTCAGGGATGGGAGGACGACTTACAATTATGGCATTAGTGTCACAACCATGACTATGTAATGATCCTGAACACAGAACAGCGATCATGAATATGAAACCATTATGCATCCATTACTGTTTCATATACACAAACACTACTTAGTTGCAATTGTGACTTGGAGTAGACCCAGTCTACGAAAGTTTATGCTACAAACATCTTTCCTTCAATTAGTCTGAAAGATACTGTAAGATTCTTTCATGTACTGATACACACTAACATCTTTGTCTTTAAATACAATATTCAGCTATGTTAGTGCTCAATCTTTCTGGCAGGTTCCTCATCCTTAAGACGTGTGTGGCAGACAATTTGAATAATGTCCTTTCCTAGTAGGGTAGAGTATCGCACGGCAGTTAAGCTGAATTAAAAAGAGACTTACCTCGCTCGAGTTGAAGTAAAATTTAGGCTGCACCCAGACACTGTCCCACGGATTTTGCCCCAAAAACTGTCATCCGGATGCAGCCGGAATTGAGCCAGGATGACTTAACTTGTTCCAGCAGCCATTTTTCAAAGACAGAAGCATTCTGACTTTGAAAAATGGCCACTGGAGTGAGTTAAGTCAGCCTGGCTGAATTCAGGTTACATCCGGATGGCAGTTTTTTGGGGGGAAATTCGTGCAATAGCATCCAGATGCAGCCCAAATTTTACTCAATTCAGGTGAGGAGAACGCCGACGGGTTTTAAATTATTGTTTAATTGTTTATTGTTTTATTGTTTAGTTGTTTAATTATTGTTATTTAATTTGTTTAGTTTGATTGGTTTTGGGGGGATGGGTGGGTGTGGGAAGGAGGATGGGATTTGAATTGATTTTATTTGTTTTCATGTTTTGAAATGTTGTACGCCGCCCCGATTGCCTGGCAGAGGGGCGGGATATAAATAAAAATTATTATTATTATTATTATTATTATTATTATTTTTAATTCGGCTTAACTGTAGTGCAATGATCTCCTGGGAATATCTGTACAAAGTGAATTTGGGCACTGTAAAAGAACAAAATTTTCAGTTCTTTCTGAAGACATTATCAAAATTCACAAACTTCATATTCAAAATATCAAGAATGTGAGATTTATTATTTTTTTAATGAATGTGGAGGGAGAAAAACTACACAGACAGATTTTCAACATTCATCACAGAGAGGGGGCATTTTCCCTACAGCTGTCTTTCCAGCTGTGTGTCTGTATGTGCTTTCAAGTCACCTGTCAACTTATGGCAACGCCATGAAATTCATAGGGGTTTCTTAGGAAAAAAATACTTCAGAGGTGGTTTTGCCAGTTCCTTCCTCTGCTACGAGGCTGAAATGTACTTTATTGGCTGCACTCCCATTAATTCTAAGCAAGTAAGTGATTTGATGGCAATTCAAGGTTGTGTATCTTCTTTCTATTAAAATAATATTTACAAAGAAAAGGGCAGAAATCCAATGGGAACTAGAAAATGGTTCTAACTGCCTTTGTCTCTTGTGAAATACAATGTCAGCATAAACAGCAAGATAATCTAAACCTCAACAGATGAAAAAGCAGACAGCAAAATTATAAGCACATCTCATCAAGGCTATACTGAGTAACGAGTTTATCACATGCAGTTTTCAGCCCAGTCCATGCACAGGATGGGATCGGGCTGGAATGGGAAAAAACGTGTTTTACCACACATGAAATTGCTGCTGTGCTGCCAGCCAACCATCACCCGTCCCCGATCCGGCCTCTGCCAGCCGATTTTGGTACTCATTATACCAAAATCAGCCATCAGAGGCTGGATTGGGGACAGGTGATGGTCGGCCGGCAATGCAGCAGCAATTTCATGTGCGGTAAAACCCATTTTTCCCCGTACCAGTCCGATCCCATCCTATGCACAGATCAGGCTGAAAACTGTGTGCGATAAACCCCTAAGATAAAGGTAGGTTCAAATGTCAAAGTCATTACTGAGATCTTGCACCAGCTGATATACCTATGACAATGGAGCCCCAATGTCATAGCTACTCATGCTAATGCCACAATTCCAAAACCTACCTCTTAAGACAAGCAGTTCCTCAACCAAAGGGCTTCTGGGGCACTGCAAACCAGGGTACTGAGAAATGATGACTGCAGCTTTCTCCCAGTTGTGGAGCACACTGAGATGGGCATTTGGAAAGACCCCTCAGGACCTGCTGCAGCTGCTTGTTTCAATGTTCGTGACTGGAAGAACATTGTGGTCATCATTTCGCAGTGTCCCAATCTGAAAGCAGCTTCATTTATATACCGCTTCATACCGCACTATGGGGTATCTAAGCGGTTTACAACTGTAAGCTCATTGCCCCCCAACAGTTGGGTACTCATTTTAGCTACCTCGGAAGGATGCAGGCCTGAGTCTAGCCTGAGCCCTGGTTAGTATTGAACTCGCAACCTTGTGGTCTATGAGTGAGTGGCTGCAGTACAGGCATTTAACCACTGCACCACCAGGGCACTGAGTGGCTTAAGAAGTCAGTTTGTGGGATCATGTTTGATTGTTAACCATTATAAACATAAATCCCAAAAGTTATGAGATTGTATGTCTGGTTCACAATCTTGTAAATCTTGAACATGATGCCAGCCCATGTCTTTTAACTTGGAATTTCCCTGATACCTGGATAAGATGGTGTTGGGAAGCCAAGACCTAATTTTGGGGAATTTATAATTA